AAAATCTTATTGAGAAAATTAAAATTTTAATTTAATTTATATTAAATTTACATTATTGTGATTTAAAACTTATGACAAGCCTCCTAATTTCAAGAATTTGCAAGTAATGATATTTGAGTACAATAAACATACAAATATCAATGTGATTTAAATACCTCTTAAATTGTAATGCATAAATTAAAAAATAAAAGCATAAAAAAAATTCATAATTTTAATTTAGAGTTTAATTTAAATGAATTTAATATAAGTATATATAAAAATAAGGGACTTTTAAAAATGTTGGGGGGCCAAGGCCCCCTCTGGCTTCTATTACCGTCCCTGGTTGTGGATAACTAACCACAACCTGAAACAGATTCCCTCATAAAATATAAAATTTTTCAAAACTAAACTGGATGTATACTTACACCTATAATAAGAAAAAAATGCAGCTTTCATTATTTCTCAGATTCCCATTTCCTGTCTTCACCCTGTTCCCATACAAATTAGCAGTTTCATCACCATCTCAGATTTTTGTCAGTACATTTTTGTCAAATATGCCTGCTTTATTTGCATATAACGTTAATTTAATTAAAGCCAGATAACCTGTTTTGTCAAAAAATATTTCCATCCTGAATTGCTTTAACATCTGAAATTTAATCCTATGGTTCAAAAGAAGAAACCCAGTGGCTTAAAAGCGAAAACCGTGTTTTGGTAACATTTATCAGTTTCTTCCCAGAGCCATTCATTAGAAACTTTACTTTGCCTGCAGGATGTCAGTACATTTAATTCATGTATCTATATCAATATATTTTATATCTAATACATGTAAAACACAAAAAAAATTATATTATAATTCTTGCTATCAAATATAAAATATATATTTTTTATTTTTATCAAATATATATACAGTTTTTGAAAAATTTTTAAATTATATTACTTTCATATATGTTTTTTGTGAAGTTTTTGTATCATATGGTCATGTGATGTTTAAAATTAACAGGTCTAATTACGTTAAACAGCATGTAAAAGCAAGTTCAAGTCTGGGAGAAAGAAAGAACATGTTACTACTCTTCTTGATCAAAGAAAAGATTTTAAATTAAAACCCTTTCTTTATTCCACCAAAATGTAGCCTTAATTTTCCAGAGAAATATCAAATAAACAATAAAGATGGGAAACAGTCAAGCTTTCTTCCTTTTAACTGCACATTTTTTAAGGCTGTTATAAGCAATTATTGATTAGTGATTTCAACATTCAATCGTCTCCGAGAGTTACCATTGATCCCAAACCCTCGACTTCTCAAGGCCAATATAACTCTCCAAGCTTGGAAACATGCCATGACTTCTGACCCCAATGGCTTTGCCTCAAATTGGTATGGCCCAAAAGTTTGCAACTACACCGGAGTCTTTTGTGCACCAGACCCGGATGACCCTCGCATCACAGCAGTGGCTGGAATAGATTTAAACCATGCCAACATAGCTGGTTCTTTACCTGAAGAGCTTGGCCTCCTCACTGACCTTGCTCTTTTCCACATAAACTCCAATCACTTTTCTGGCATGATACCTGAAAGCTTTCGAAAACTCAACCTTCTTTATGAGCTTGATATAGTAATAACCAAGTTAATGGAGAGTTCCCTTATGTTGTTCTTGATTTACCTTCACTCAAATTTCTTGACATCAGATACAATGAGTTCAGTGGCACAAACCCCTCACAGTTGTTTAATCTGAAACTAGATGCCTTCTTCTTTAACAACAACAATTTTCGATCATCTTTACCGGAAAACTTCGGTAACTCTCCTGTATCAGTTATTGTCATGGCAAGTAGCGGCCTCACAGGCTGCTTTCCTTCTTCAAGTTTGGTACTAATGGCAGGAAATCTCCGGGAAATCATTTTCATGAACAATGGATTTACAGGATGTTTGAAACCAGAACTTGGTGCATTAAAGAGAGTGACAGTGTTTGATGTTAGCTCTAACAAGCTAGTTGGGCCTTTGCCAGACGCAATTAGGCAAATGAAGAGCTTGGAACAGCTTAATGTGGCAAACAATGAACTATCTGCTTATATTCCAGAGAGCGTATGTTCATTGCGTAAGCTGAAGAATTTCACCTACTCCCAACAATTTCTTCTCTTCGGAACCTTCAAAATGCCTCAAGTTGCGTGCCAAAAATGATAGAAAGAATTGTGTTCCCTATAGGCCATTGCAAAGATCACCAATGGAATGCAAGTCTTTCTATGCACATCCAGTTGATTTTAGTATCATTGGCTGCTCACCTAGCCGTACACCTCGCCCATCACCACCACCCTATCCACCTGTGCATCATTGGCCATGACCACCAAATCAAAGTTCAGTATAAAAAGAAAGAGTTTAGTATTTATTTTCATTTTGCTGATGTTGTCATGTATGGAAATTTAAAACGCACAGTCGGGATTTTTCTTCTCAATTTGTCTTTCGAGAAGCAACATCCAATTTCTATTTTATGCACATTTCTGGATTGGTGAGAATAATTAATGATACTGAGGTTTCCATCTCGTTCTCTGCATTGCTATATTTCATAGCCAAATGCCTCCAAATAATTGATTTTGTCTTCTAATCCACATTCTCTTGTTTAACAACAGCCAACTGATTAACTGGTTATAAATTAAGAAAAGAACCTTTTTGAAATGTATTATAATCTACGAAGCTAGGACACTTTTGAACCCTTCACGACCCGTATCATATTTGTGTCCAATATTGTGATACTTGGCGATACATTTAAATACGTGTGAAACTTAGATAGATATGACAAAAACTAAGCAAAAAGAATAATAATAAAAACAATTCTCGTGTGGATAATGACGTTATATTTTTTTAATCATTATGTTTATCATCAATTTTTTTTAACAAAGATAAATATCTTTTAAAAGTTAATCAAATATCTATCATATATTTTTAACTGATAATTATAATATAAAAAAAATAATTTTTGTTACTGTATCTTATCATATTCATGTCTTATTTTTTTAAAATTATTATGTTATCATATCCGTATCGTATCATACTTATATTATATGTCTATCTTTATATTTCATAGATTATAATTCTTCAATAAACAAAAGTTTTGGCCAAAGAAAAAACTAGAACAAGATACAATCTTCAATAATATATATATATATATATATATATATATATATTTATCCATATCGAGGTGAGCTGCCTTTTATATTAATCATGGACTCATTTTCAACCAAAGAGGTGAGGAGACGAAGTAGGAAAAAATAGTACCTAAATTATGATTAATATATTTTTATAACTAATCAAAATAGAAAAGTTTCAAAAAAAATACAGTAATAATTTTGGATGAAGAACTTAGATGAATATGCTAATTGGTCCGAACTCAAAAAGTTTGGGGACAAAAATTAATAGTATTAGAAATAAGCCCACATGGTATTGTTTGCTTTTCGAAAAGTTGAGATCCTAAATTGTAACTAATTAAACCTTTGATCTTTGAATGAACAACACGATATAGATTTATTTAATCTTAAATTTAACATGTAATCATTAAAAAAAAATATAATTCTACCTTATTACTCTTGATGAGGGACATAAATGGGTTTGTCAAAAATTTTAAAGGAAAATTTTGATATTTTGAACAGTGACAGATGCAGGATTTTTTTTTTTTGGGTGAATTTATCAATTTTGTACGTAAAAGGTTGTTTTTATTTCAATTTTTTTTTTTAATTTCAATCTTTGAGATTGTTCATCTAAAATTTTAGGATGTGCAAATTTTTTTTTTTCAAATTTTCTTAATTTTCAATATTTAAGATATGCCCCTGACTTTGAAAAAACTTTAAAATGAGAAAGAACCAAAGAAAAGATATAACACTTATTCATTCATTCAAAAGAAAATGGAAAAAAGAAATCCTTTTGATGTAATAAGAATCATACAATGTAAAGTATTTAAATTTGTCTTCATATAAAATATTTTTGTTAGCCAAGATGTTTATAAAATCTCAAAATTTTATTTAATATTTAAACTCCTTTGATTGATAAAAATGAAAATATCATTACTAACCCCGTCAAATATAATCTTTCATATGCATTTCAATTGCATGAATTATCTATATGAAGTATGTATTGCTCACCTGTTGCTTACTAGAATTTTTAAGTTCTGGAAGCTTTTCTTGATATTTCACCATCAACAATTTTTTTTATTTTAAAAATTATCGTAGTTTAAAGATTAGAATATAAGTTAGAAGTATTAGAATTTAAATTTTAAATTAATTTATTAAATATTATATTTTAAAAGTGATTATATGAATCAATTGAGTTAAATTTTATTTTTTTTTTCTTTAAACTTTGAATGCTTGAAATACAAAACTTCTTATGCTCGATAAAACCTTCAATCACAAAAGCAAAGAATTTTCAAAAGGTAAATTGCTCCATCTTCCTTGCTATTTCTTTGGTTTCTCAAAATTAGTTGCAATTGGTATAACCAAATAGCTGGAATGCTTTGGGTATAAACATGCTTAAAGAAATTGATCCAACCCTCCGCGGCACAAAATTTATTTATGAATATTAATTTTATAGTGTGATAATATATAATATCAAAAGTTTCTTACTAAATTTAGCGTTCGAAAAAATTTTTAAATGTTTTTTCATCTTGACCAACTCAAACAACAAGCAATAACAATTTTTAAATATGACAATAAAATTGATTGAAAATTTATACATGTGTTCTATCATTTTTGAAAAAGGTTAGAAATTAAATTTGATAATTCATATATTTATATTTTATTTATTTGGTATCAAATATATGTAAAATAAAAAAATTATAATATCAAAAATCATATTGATACATCAAATATAAAATATTTATTTTTTATTTTTTCAAAACTCATATATAATTTTTTATATTATTTTTATATTATATGATTATATGTATTTAAAATTATGATATTTACTATATAAGAACATTAAACTTATATTCTTTCCCAAAATAAATATTAAAATTTATAGAAAAACAGAAGTAGGGCTTGTTGGCCTGACTGCGTGAGAAAGAAAAGGCATGATTAGTGAATAGTGGGCTCAAATATTGAACTTAGGTCCAATTCTGCCTAGAATTTTGCTCAAATCCAACTCTAATTCACCCAAAAAGGCTCAAAACCCTCAGAGTGCAACCCGATTAGCCCAAAATCGATCCACCAAGGAGCTGGTTATAAACCAATCAATAAAAGTAGGGTTTGAACTTTGAAGTCTCCCACACCAAAAGAACAAGGTTGAGCTCTCTAGCGGCCATCTGCTCTGCACAGACTGCACTTCGTAGCTAACCGGCAAAACTTCAACCATGGCCGTCGGGTACTAATTTCTTTATCTTCCTCTCCCTCATTTTTCAAATGGGTTTTGCTACTTTTCTTTTCACTGATTTTTTTTTGGGTTCTTTCTTTGTATTGTAATATAGGAAGAACAAGAGGATTTCCAAGGGAAAGAAGGGAGGAAAGAAGAAGGCGTGAGTTTTTTTTTTTTTTTTTTTTTTAAGCTTAAATCTCATTTTGGGTATTTTGTAGATAGATCTGTTTGTTTGATGTTGATGTCTTTTGTTTGTTTTTTTTAGAGCTGATCCATTTGCCAAGAAGGATTGGTATGATATCAAGGCTCCATCGGTTTTTACTACCAGAAATGTGGGGAAGACTCTTGTTACCCGTACTCAGGGTACCAAGGTTTGTTTCTTTTAATTCTTTATTTTCTTTTACTCTTTTGAAAATGCTTGTTTTGCATTATATGTAAGATTATTGTATAGTTTGAACCTGAGCGAAACCGGATTTTGTACATGTTCTTTGTACATTGCGTACCTGGCTTAGTGCTACGACTCTTTTATCTTTTATCGGAATGACGATAAGGATGCTTAATTTTACTTTGATTTTTCATGCTATGTGCTGTTTTTCCTGTTTATGAAATGTGGAATTGAGCTGAACCATGGTTTTGTAGTAGGTTGTTTGGTTGGACCCTGATATTTTTTTTAGCTGAAATGCTGAATTGTCATTTCTTTTTTTCTACTAAACTTCTACTAGCCTAATATGTTATATGGTTAATCTATTTGCCATCTGAATGCTTAAATTTCTGAAACTCTAGAAAGAGCCTGGAATTCTAGAAAGAGCCTGAATGCCTTATAATCAATTTCATTTCTTCAATTATCTTTCAAGGATTCATTTGTTGAGAAACTTAAACTTACTTTTCCTTAATTTTTTTGGTCTTGTATCATTTGTCAGCTTCTGTTATTTAGCCGCTTAAGTGACTTCATGAGTTTGTTTCTATTTTTCTAAGTGGATGTTAGAAAATCTTCAAAATAATTAATTTTGCATGTAGGTACAGCACAATGAACTTAGACCTGGTTATTACATTTCGTTAACATGCGGTTACAATTTAATCTCTATGTATATAGATAAATAGTTTGAACTTGACTATTTTATTACAGATTGCTTCAGAAGGACTCAAACACCGTGTGTTTGAGATATCACTGGCTGATCTTCAAGGTGGCGATGAGGATCATGCTTATAGAAAGATTCGTTTGAGAGCTGAAGATGTTCAAGGAAAAAATGTTTTGACCAATTTCTGGGTATGATAAATATAAATATATTTGTTTTTTTGGCCAAAATATTTATTTACAACATTGTTCCAGTGTTGTTTGTAATAATAAATGAACAAATTTGTTTTGCTTTCCTTTTCAAATTTCCAGGGAATGAATTTTACAACTGACAAACTGAGGTCTTTGGTGCGTAAATGGCAAACTCTAATTGAAGCTCATGTGGATGTGAAGACAACTGACAATTATACTTTGAGAATGTTTTGCATTGGATTCACTAAGAGGCGCCCAAACCAGGTTAAAAGGACTTGTTATGCACAATCCAGCCAGATTAGGCAGGTACTACTCTGATATTCTGCCAAACTTTCAGTTCTTGTGACAATTTTCTTGACTCACATACCTTGATATATATTGAAACTTCACTGATCATTTATTCAGAGTGTGTTGTACTTTTCCTGAAGCAGTCAATCCCATGATGACTGAGTGACTGAGTGAAGTTTCTTTTGTTTTGCAGATACGCCGAAAGATGAGTGAGATAATGACTGCCCAGGCATCATCCTGTGATTTGAAGGAATTAGTTCAAAAGTTCATTCCCGAGATGATTGGAAAAGAAATTGAAAAGGCAACATCTAGCATCTATCCTTTGCAGAATGTGTTCATTCGTAAAGTCAAAATTTTGAAGGCTCCCAAGTTTGATCTTGGAAAGTTGATGGAGGTATGTTTCTTATATCTTTTCTGCTTAGTCTTTCCCTGCATCCTGACAACATTTTGAATGAAAATATTCCATGTGGCCTTGGTATTTATAGCTGAATAAGATATCAAAGTGTCTTGCCTTGTGCCTGATTAATATCTTTCTTCTATTTATTTAGGTTCATGGTGATTACTCAGAAGATTTTGGTGTGAAAGTAGAGAGGCCTGCTGATGAGGCAATGGCTGAGGCTACACCAGAGGTTGTTGGAGCTTGAATGATAAGTCCTTGAATATGTTTGTCTTTTCTGCTTCTAAGAGTTTTGTTGATCATTTTCTTTTTGTTGAAAACTTAGTAGAGAATTTCTCCATGTTTTTTATGTTAAAGGATATGATTTTGCAAATTAATATTGACTGGACAATCTGTAACTCCTTGGAACATGTCTGTGTTGGTATCGATCAACTATACAATTAATGTTATCTCATTGATCTAAAATAATTCTCGGTCACTCTGCATTGTACAGCTAACTGCTTTTAATATGGCTACATGAAACACCCATCTGGAAAATTGAACTTTTTAATGGTGGGGTTTTCGTTTCAATGACTACTTGATTCCTGCCAACCCCTTCACTAAATAATGTTTTTATTTGTACTGTATGTAAAGTTAACCTTTACAAATTGTTGGTTTATCTGAAAACGGTAAAGGATAAAATTCTGACCGCCGTCCAGTTTTTTGTGATTGGGTCTTTGATTAGAATCGTCTGGCCCGCTTGATGGGTTTGGATTTCTGGGGCCAGGTAGGCTATGAAGAGTATAAGTTAATTGCTTAGAATTACAGTCAGATACCATCTCAAACAATAGAGATGAGCACTAGATCGGTGAAGGGCTCAGTTTTAAAAAATTGATAATCAATATTACTGATTTTTTCAAAAAATTAAACGAGTCGATGGATTTATTTTTAATAATTGCAAAGAATCAAACTGATTTATTCCTAAAAAACGAGTGTAACTTCATTAGTTTCACCCTCATTCCTCCAAGACCGGCTCTGCTTAAATAAAATATGTACGATTTGTAGTTCTTTTGACTGGGACCACAGGATCAACTAGCCAACTCCTTGTAATGTCTAAAACCAAAATGCAGTTAAAGAGTATGAGCCTTGAGCTGTTGAGCTGCATGTTTTGAATTTCATTTCTATTGACCATATAAAAAAGTTATACTTCTTAGACATTGTTGCTTGAAATTACAAGATAAAATGATGGAGGCGGCGAAATGCCAGGAAAATCTCAGGGGAAGTTTGTGGCTAACATCAAACAACATGGTCTTGCAAGTAAGAATTAACCCAAGATGTAATCAGGACACTACAATTAAACAAACAAGCAAAACAATTCTTGATATGCGCAAGCAAAACAATTCTTAGAGTGATTAAGTCTTCTTTTTCCTTTTTCTCTTACTTGCAACTCCTAATGAGTAGTAACCGTAATTGATAGAAGTGAAGAGGGGTTAAAAACCTTAGAAGCATTCCTATCAAAAGTTTATCGAGACAAAAACTTACACAATCGTCATATTATACTAACCCAATAAGATATGCAAAACTCACACATAAGCAATCATTTTAAATTATTTGAGCTATCATGGTTGTTTCGTGTTAAGACTAAACTTATCAGTTAGTTTTATTAAATTATTAAAATCATTAATTAATAGTAATTCACTTATGAAAAATTCTAACATTCTCTCACTTGGGTAGTATTGATTGGGTTGCTTGATTTTAATAAAACATAATTTAGAAAATAAGACTCTAAGTTAATTTACTTTATTTTGATGTGACCGTAATTTTAAAAAATAATTTAGTCCTTTATGATAATATCTTAATGATTTTGTTCAATAAAATTATCTAATACCGAATCAGAGCAGCTTTTATAGCCTTTATTGACATAAGACTAATCCATAATTATAAATACCAGTGACTCTATCGACAATGGATCTTAATGTGGTTGTGTATCAAGAAAATAACACCCAAATATGATCTCAATATGTTATTCTCATTGTCAGTCCTCTTGCCAATTTTTTTAAATTTGCTTAGAAATCTCCATAACATCCAAATGTACCTATATGTCTCCTCCATATCTTGGAGGTTCCTAAATGGTGTCATTTATGACACATACCTAAGTGACAAAACTGTCATACTTAAGATTGACACAAAGTCTTAAGATTTCACAATACATATAACAAATTTTAATTTTCCAAGTTTACATGTACTAATAAAATTCAATAACAACATAAAATGTCAACCAACGATAATCATCATTCAAGCATGAAATCAAATATCATAGATATTCCAAATACAAAAAAAAAAGTCCAACATAAAAGTAAACCATGATGTGTGAGTATGAAATACAAATGATATACTCCCATTAAAGAATTACATCAAAAGACCCTAAATACCCATGCTTTCAACATGTTTACCAAACACTATAAATCTTAATCCCTTAGTTAAAGGATTAACAATCATGTTGTCAATCTCAATGTATTTGACAAAAATCTCACCATTTTTCATAAAATCCCTAACTGTAAGATATTTTATCTCTAAATATTTAGACCCACTAGTGCTTTCATTGTTTTTAAAGAACATGGCAAACCTATTGTCACAATACTCTTCATTGGTCTAGAGATGGAATCAACAATATGGAAGCCTATTGCTTGTGTAGCAGCTTTATAGCATGTAACAAACTCAGCTTGCTTGGAGGAAGAAACAAAGAATGTTTGTTTCACACTTTTCCAAGACATACTCCTGCAGCCAACATAAAAGCATACTCTAAGGTGGAACTTTTTGTTATCTTGACAACCAACGAAGTTAGAATTTGTATACCTTACTATCTTAAGATTTTTTTCACCTTCTCGTATACCAACATATTGTCTTTGGTCTTTTGCAAGTACCTTACCATTTTTTTAGCAGTAACCTAATTATCCATACCAAGACTAGAAAGATATCTTTCAAGAACTCTTATTGCAAAAATAATATCTAACCTAGTGCAAACTTGAGCATACATAAGATTCCCAATTACACTAGTATATGATATGTTCTTTATTAGTATTTTTCTTTGGGCACTAACATAGATTAAGGCTATCACCTTTTATAATAGGTGTATCCCTAGCATTATAGTTCTACCTGTTAAATACACTATTCATACGATCAATGTGAGATCTTTGCAATAATCCCAACAAATTTTAAGACTTATCTTTATAAATTTCAATTCCAAGAACAAAAGAGGCATCCATAAGATCTTTCGTGTTAAAAGTCTTGGTTAATTGTTTATTTTTATGCAACAAACTAATATCATTGCAAACTAGTAAGATATCATCTACATATAAAACAAGAAAGATATCTTACTCCCATTGATTTTAAGGTATGCATTGATCAATCTATTTTCCTCAAAATCTAAGAAAGTAACTATCTCATCAAATTTTAGATATCACTAACTAGAAGCTTGCTTAGGGCCATAGATTGATTTTTTAAGTTGACATACTAAATGTTTCTTTCCATATTCTTAAAATCCTTCAAGTTACACCATATAAAACCTCTTCTCTAAGATTAGCATTGAGAAAAGTTGTCCTCACATCCATCTGATGGAGTTCTAAGTCAAAGTGTGATACCAAGGCTATAATAATCCTAAAAGAATCCTTAGAAAGCACCGAAGAAAAAGTTTCATTATAATCTATTCTTTCTTTCTGAAAAAGTCCCTTTGTCATTAGTTTAGCTTTAAGTCTCTCAATTTTTCTTTTAAAATCTTTTTTGGTTTTATACACCCATTTACAACCAATGGGCGTATACCCTTTTAGTAGTTCAACAAGCTTCTAAACTCCATTTTAAGCCATAAAACTAATTTCATTTTTCATTGCATCTATCCATACATCAGACAACGAATTATTAAAAGCATCACTAAAAGTCATAGGATCAATAATATGACTAATATCATAGTCACTCTCTCCAAGATAAATTACATAATCATTAAAAATGATAGATTTTCTTTGCTTGAAAGATCTCTTCAAAGGCTTTTCAATATCATTTTCTTGAACTAGAGGTATACCAACAAAAGTAACATAAGTGGTAGGAGGGTGCCTTTAATCTTCTTTCTTAATAGTCACTGGCAAAATATTGCACTGTGTTGCAAGCAAAAGAATTGAGAAGTGTCTAATAGGTTCATTGTTATCAACAACTTTTGTCACACCCTTGTTAGCAATATCTAGCTTAAGAAACTTTGTCACCTGTGATTCTACAACTTTAGTCCCATATGTAGAAGAATAGAACCTATATCCCTTAGAATAGTCTAGATACTTTATGAAATAGCAATGAGTACTCCTAGGTTCAGTTTTTCTTTTGAAAAGGTTATAAATTCTGACTTTTGTAGAATATCTCTAAACTCGAAAGTGGTTCAAACTAGGTTTCCTACTAATCCACGATTCAAAATTTGTTTTAGAAATAAATTTACTAAATATTCTATTGAGTATGTACAATATAGTTTTAATAGCTTCACCTTGAAAAGATCCAAGAAGATTGATCTACTCATCATAATTTTCATTAAAGGTGCAATTTTGCCTTTGGGCTACACCATTTGCTCAAGATTACAAAACATAATATATTGGGCAACAGTCCCACACTTTTGTAAGTATTTGGAAAATGGTCCCATGGGTTGTCCATTTTCACCATGTTTGTCATAATACTTATTACCTCGGTCAAGCCTAACCACTTTGATGACTTTCTTTAATTGTTTTTGTACCATAGTTTTAAAAATTTTGAATTTTTAAAAAATTCAATTTTCATCAATCAGGTAAAGATACCTATAGCGAGAATAGTGATTAATAAAAGTATCAAAATATTTGTTACCACACAAGGTAGATGTAAGAAGTCCACTAATATCAATGTGCACAATTTCTAAAAGATTAGAACTATGAGTTGCCCTTTTCCTTAATCTTAGTTAGTTTTCTCTTTATGCAATCTGCACAAATGTCTAAAATTTCAAAATTAATAAAAGGTAAAATACCATCTTTTATCAATTTTTGTACTTTTTCATTAGAAATGTGACTCAACCTTTTACGTCACAACCAATAAGAGTTTTTTTTTTAGTAAAACTTTTAGACATTGTCGTAGGCATTATAGTATACACTATATTCATTATTGTAAGCCAAGCATAGTTTACATAAGTTGTCAATATTTATATTCACCAACAATATTTGAATTTAAAAATAAGTCAACCTTTCCATTTTCTATGCAAAATAGTACCATGTTTGTCCAAAATAGAAATTGAAAATCAAATTTCTCTAAAAGATGGTACATGAAAAATATTTTGAAAAATAAGTTCAAAACAAGATTCTAAATTTAAACTTATTGTTCATATATAACTAACATTTACTTCAACATTTTTTCAGCTCTTAGTTTGGCATTTTTCTTACTTAGCTTTCATTTGCTTTTGAATCCCTATAAGGTAACAAGAATATGAACAATTGCATCACTATCAAGCCACCACAAATTTTGTAGGA